ATTAATGCAAAGCTGTTAAACCCAAAGTGGTTTCAATTATTCATCATACAAAGTATGTTTCAGTCTTCTCTGTCTTACCGGAAATACTTGGTACTGAAAAAATTATTCTGTTTGATTAAAGCTCCACGACAGTTGTTTTTTTGGAATCGTGAGAGCAACTCTGTAACGTATAGCAGACTGTCACTCTCATACTTTTGACGTTTCCTTCGTCTTAGTGTACTTTTTAGCTTTCTGTTTTGCAGATTGTATTCTTCTGATCGGAAAGTCACCACACAGTTAGAAACTAAATACTGGAAATAGTCAAGTCTTTCACCTAGTCATCATGAAACTTTTCCTGCATAATATACTAACTTCACGTGTGCTAAAGGCCGTGAAAGTGGGATATCCCTTGAAACTCAAGGTAATTCAACTTGGTTTTGTATTATTTTTTCAGGCTAAAGAAATAAAAGTGTCTACAGTTGACTATGATCCATCGTCCGTTGCACGCTTGATTCCGAAAGTTGAGTGGTCTGTTGTAAAATCAGTAGCAGATGAAGTAAGACGATTATTACTTTCTTCACCCTTTAGTAGATTGGTGAAGATTATATTCCCTGTTTGCCTGAAGAAGTTCCTTCTAACTACTCAGAGAACGAGGAATTCTTGAAATTAGCTCACAAAGCGCTACTTGAAGTTGACATAATGGAGGGTGTATTGGTTTGCCCAGAAACTGGTCGTGAATTCACTATTTCACATGGGATTCCAAATATGTTGGTTAATGAGGGTGAATGACTTTCTGTATCGCTTCGTCCTGTAAATTTTACCTGTATAATAAACAATATTTAATCTAAGTGCTCTTGTGAACTTAATGTTGTCAAGTTATGGCTCAGGAGTCAATAACTGATTTTTGGTCAATTTTTCAAAAAATAACTGTACTGTAAGTGTGAATCACAGACCGGTTTATTAATCTTTGTGGTTGCGTTTAATACTAGTCAATATCTATGGTATTTATGTAGTTTGAGAGAGGAAACACTTATTTCTGAGGATTCTTTTTCAAATATGTATAATTGCGTCAGCCTTATTTCAGTGAGCATTGAAGAAGTTAAGAAGCCATCTCCTACTGGAATCGCTCTCGGCGATTTACTATCTCTAAAATATTCTTCCCACCAGGCTCTAAAGACGGATCAGTGGGAGTGCAGGATATCTGGAAGTACGCACAACAGCAGTGTATTATTGTGGTAATCAAAGTCAGTCTGGCAAAACGTTACTCGATTCCTGTTGTTTTTTGTGGAAAGACAAAAGTTTGTGAGATGGGGAGGATGTCAATTAGGAAAAATTACAAATCTTCTGTTATAAAAACCGGTCAATGGGACATTTTGATAGGTTGTTTAGTCAAAATATAACCATCTGGCATTTACTAGGTATATATTCATAGTCTGAGTACTTTAGTTTTCTAGGTATTCATCTACTGCTTCCAACCATTCCTACGGTTTATCCTTTGTTAGTAAAAGTTATTATAACCAGAGACTGTTATAAAGTTTATGTTTAGGGTGTTCTTATTAGTAAAAAGTGGTTGAACCTGAAGAACTCTGACAGAGAGGCTTTGTATAGCTGGAAGCTGTGTGGGCTTTTTTCTGCAGCCTTGCAGATAATATTCTCTAAATGAACTCGTCCGTATGCTGTAACTTCATGTCTTTCCGGAAGAGTGGTTGCAATTCTGTGTGGTAGTAACCAGCATCAAATGAGTTACTAGGTTATCAAACAGTTATCCTTGATTTGTCATTCAAACAGGCTACAGTCGTATGTTTTCATCCGTGATATCGACACTCATTATCTTTGGTGCATTTATGTGCACATTTCGTATTCAAGTTTAGTTCTCGGTAGTCTTTGAGTGGTCGCAACTTTTCACCACATTATTTATATTTGCTTACGCAAAGATTAACCCCACACATGAATACGGTAATATGTAAAAAAGAGAATGATATATCGGAAATGACAACTGCCAGGTAGTTGTTTTCACTCTAGGGGGCGTTCGTCATTTTAATAACTTCTGACAATAGAAAAAACAAGGGAGCTGACAGTATCTTGAACCACTAAGTTTTGATTGGTGTCTTACACTTCTCTCACGCCTACGTGATACATCAGCAAAGCTATCTTTCATACCACAGTGGCACATTGAGTTCAATGACTAGCAAATGGTATGAAAACTACCAGAAGGGTATTTATAACACAGGTGCAAGCCACCAAAACTGATGATCCAAGGTGAATTTTCTGACATATGATATCCACTTGTTACAAGCCATCTTTCAGAAACAGTAGTAATCAAACTCAGAGATTCACTGGGTGTCGCCTGTTAGGATAGAGCAGGTTCCAGTAGCCTGGAATAGGATTTATGCCAAAGCGTTTTATACCTCAGCCCTACCCGATGCGTAACGTACCAGTGTATAACTCCGACTTTTGGTATACAGCCTGGAATCTTATTCATCACACTATCTCTAGCATTAACACAGCAACCGAAATCCACATGCTGCTTCTAAGGATTCATCTGTGAGGTCGACTGCAGACAAAAGCTCCTGTCAAATCTACAGAAGTATCTGCATTCCGACAGTGCCAAGCGAATATCATACAGGCACTAGTCACCAAATAATTGAGTAAGATTTGGATAACCTGCTCAATATGTCCTTGCTTTGTTCAAACCTGTCCTGCAGTAAGATGTCTTCTGCTTATTCAGGCTTGAGTGATCTTTCTCTGGGTAGCCGATGTACATTGCTCACCTCCATCAAAACTGTTTTCTGCATGTCCTGCATGAAAAAGCTAAGGATGAGTGATGAAAATTCTCCTAGTCTTCCTAACGCCACCTTTGGTCCCGAAAGCATATGCTGTGTGGATGTACCCCTTCATTGTGCTTCAATTGCTTTTGTTCACAGTTCTGAAGATTTTGAATTTCTCATGCACAAACGTCTGAAACAGTGAGATACTTCTGTCCAGCAAATCGAGGTTAGGTCCGCTGTGGAAAATTACAGAGATTATTGAACTTCAATAATTGTGCAGAAATTCTAGTAACTGATGGAACATTAATACGCGAAAGATGCTTGCAAGACCTCAAATAAACGTTTTTTTTACAGTATAACAGGGGCCAATACTGTTGATAGTATTGGTAGAAAACTAGTGTTCTGATGATTACCCTATGCAATTTTAATTTGTTGTACCTTTTCAAAAAATCTATTCACTGCCCTAATTAAAGTCTCGCTTCTACCCTTTAAAATCGCTAGAAGTAATTCGTCCTGTTTGAGTGTCTTCTTACAGCTTCATAATTGGGATTCTTTTTGAACCTTCGCTTCATCAGATGTATCAGTGTTAACTAACGGTGGGGCCCTGTAATTCAAAATAGAAGACATTTGTACTGGAGATCAGTTTATTTGATTTGATAGTTCCCTGATGAGCATTCCAAGCGTTAGTGAAGGTAGTTGATTGGCATAAAGACCATCTCACTGACACCAGTCGTTTGTTATCATTGGGTTAGGTGGCCTGGAATAGCTCACCACTGTTGTCATATATAGTTGAGGCTTTCAACTCAGTTCCATCCGCTGTAATCATCGTGTAATTATACACGTTAGAGTTTCTTACGATGAGATAGGAGACACACATACACTTCTTCATTCTATTTCCCTTTGTTTCATAGTATTTTCTTTTTATTCACCTCAGGTTTTGATAAAAACTACAACTGAATAATATTTCTTTAGAATGAGCTGTTTCATAAATAGGTCGGTGTCTTATTTTAACGAATTATATATATATATATGGAAACCATCGTGAAAAACACTGTTGCGAGGTCTGCAATAAACTCATTTCAAGCAACTGATTGTATTTACCATATCTGTTGATAAGTCAGTGTGGCAAATGTTACTTCCAAAGATCTCCTTCCTCGACGGGCAATGTTAGCTGACATAGCATCAAGCTGAAAAAGAGCTAGTGGCGGTCAAACCAAAACATGGCACCAGTAAATGAAATCCACAACAGTTAGTTTAAGCCACGTAGGAAGTTGTAGACTTCCTAGTTGGGGTCCTCGGGACGGTAAAAATCAATGGCTGGAAACATTTGGTGATATGGCTCGAAATCGTTGTCAATGGCGCAGTTGCTTTCACTCCTTGTGACTTATGATTTCCAATGAAACTATATTGTTCTTCGTTATTACTATACGTTTGTTTCACACCTCTGTTTACTGCCTATATTATGCATTTCTTCTCTTGCTTTTTGTGCTACATGGAGTGTGGCGACTCGAACTGCTGCACATCGGTACAAAGTTCTATGTCGAAAACAAAGAGACAGACTTCCAAAGATAATTGCATCACCTGACTTCACCCAATCAGCAGTTCTTACTAATCTAGTCTTGTGCATGAAATTCACCCTTAAATGTTCCTGATATGCGTTTAGCTCGAAATGCCAATTAGTTCAATGACTGAAACTTGAATAACTCCCCTTAGTTACTACTGCTTGTAGCCAAACTGTGTACACCGAATTCAGACGTAATCTCATTGAGTTCAACCGATTATATGATACCTAAGATATGAAGAGAATTTTGTGTCGTGGTATCGTTCGCTGCGACTATCCTTCTCTTGAAAATCAGTATTGAATGAAAAACAAATTTCTGTACAATCTCTGTTTTTCTTCTTTATGCGAACATTATTGTAAAGAGACAAGAAAACATAGAATGTGAAATGTGTGTATCAACAAAATAAATTCGGGGGGAATCAAACAGCATCCACATAGATGAGTAAGGTTATTTATATACATAAGTTTGTGGTTCCACTTGTATTTAGATTAGGTTTCACATCGAACCGGTCAGTTTATCGTTTGCTTGCATAGCTGATAAACAGGATACTTCAAGAAATAGTATGAATATGTTGACTGTGTTAAATTGGCTTGGAATTTCGAAAACATCTTCCTCCGTTTGGATTTTTTATGAACTGTTTGATGTGTTGAATGATTAGTAAAATACTTTGTTTAGAAGTAGGCAATTTATACTACTTATATTTGTTGAGTAGTCGAAGTTGGACATAACAAAGTATGTAAAAAATGACCATTATAACAACTTGTCCAAATACATTATACCATAAATCCCATGTAGTTTTGTAAGGAATCTCTTGGTCCTCCAAGTATGTGGTACCGTTTTGACTGTAAGTAAAGTAAGATGATAAAAGGAAACATTCAAAGTAATCTGATTACGTAACAGTGCAGATTAAAAGAAGTTAATTCTTAAAGCAAACAAACTAGTCAGCTTCAATATTCTGTCCAGAAATTTCTAGTCTCACTTATATTTAGGCATTTACATTACAACAAGCTACCAGTTATGAGCTCATATATTGCACAGGTTGAGTTTTATTCTCTTCACAATACTTACATGATCAATAACAAAGGCTTGACCAAACTGCTTCCAGGCATTTCACTATAACAATCTAAGATTCAATGCTTACCTGATTTAATCTTTACATCAGATTGGATTTGCAGTGTAGGTTTACGTATTAAATGTATTTCACTCCTTATAAAACCTTATTCATTATTAACCGCGATGACTTTCAAGCACGTTAATCTCATCTATAGAGTAGAGCACATGCGAATTGTTAAATTGCATCTTTATGACATTTTCCAGCTTCTTTGAGTGAGCATTTAGCCAAATTTATTGTGTTTGAAGACAGTCATGTCAACCTCGGTATATACCTTGGCGTTCGAGCCTCGTCACCAAATGATTGGAAGCTAATATCTTTGTTCGGTGACTTACAGCTTCATATCATGCATAAATCCCAGCATGGAATGTGACCGTCCCACTGATTAATCTTGTCTGAGTATGTTAGCCAGTCGTCTCAAATCAATACAAACAAATCAAAATGTTTTGTACACTATATGAACATTTTTTTTCATCCCTTTGTGTTCCCAATGGGACATAGAGCTTCAAGTTTGAACTGTGAAGTTCCAGTGGCGATGGTGTTGTTTCTATAGGGTAGGATCGCTAGTCTTCTACACAACTATTTCTTCTTTGCTGGCTAAGTAAGGTTGAGTAGTATGTTGGTCGGGATTCGAACCCAGACCAAGTACATAGACTGACAAGCATTCTAACACTGGCGCACAAAATAAGCTGGCAAGACCTAGTGTGGTGAGAGCTGTCTGCAAGACAAAATTTTAGACAACAATTGACGTCCCGAATCGGGGTCATGAGAAAAAACAAGAACAAACCTAACCTTGTAGAACTCAACAACCAATCACAGCAGACTTAGAGTGTGCAAATACGATTCGCAGGTATATGGATAACTTTGTAAGCAACGGTCACAAGCAGCATAGAATAACCTCCAGCAAGAAAGCAACCATTCTGAAGAGGTTGCTTCTCTGCTAAAATAACGAAAAATAATGTACCTAAAATCTAAATATCTGTTGATTTTTTCAATAAACGATCTGTTGCCTGGCCCTTGTCTTCTGTCGTTACACTAGTATTCCCAACCGGTCACTCATGCAGTTAATAATCGGGTCCAACGTTGCTCAGTCTCGGTGATCGAACGAGAACCAGTATTTTCAAAGTAGTATGATCACCGTATATTTATATTTTGGAAGCCGGAAACATCTTTTGTTATAACCCCTTTGTTTTTTAAAGGAACTTGTTTGTGAAGGGGCTTTCAGTTGTCAAACCCACTTCCTTCATATTTTTCTTGACATTAAAATCTGAGTTTTCCCTTCATTCTTATCTGATGACTTGTGTGTTCACTTATTCTGATTCCTTCAGAAGTGTCCGAAGGCAAAATAATATTCAGAGAGATCCAATGGGAGAACATACAGTGATTTTATTAGTTGTTATTTGAACTATTTGATAGCCAAATGATACATAAGTTCATTTCAACTAATTTTCCACCTAACGCCTCATTTGACTGTCTTCTACACATACTGTGATATCTTTCAGTAATCTGTGTCTAGATTATTCATGTTTCCAGGGATTGTAAAGCCTCAGCTGAAGTAGACATGGCATAATAATGCGTGTAAAGCATCTGACCGTTGAACTTAACAACTTCACAGTAGCTTACGTAAGAAATTCGTTTCAAAACGACCTTTATCAGCTGCAGTCTCCTGAACAGTTGAAAAAACAGTATCTTATCTACATAGTATGTTTTGTCAAGTACATATGAATATAAGACAAGTGTCACTCACCTACTTTATTTATCACTTAGTCGAAAAATTGTAGTCAGTTTACTAACAAATTACCTGCATATTATGGCCTGTGGTGCAGAGGTAGAATGCTTTCCAGCCATTCAGGTAGTCCGGGGTTCGATCCTCGGCTGATGCACTCCCAAACCCCGCTTAGCTGGTAATAAGCCTAGCAAAGAGGGGAGGTTGAGCGTGAGACTAGCAATCCCATCCCGTAAAAATAAACACCACTGCTACCGAAACTTGAAAACTCTAGCTTTAATTCCTGTGTTCCATTGAGAACGCAAAGGAATAAAATAAATAAATAATAAAAATCGCCATTTCGGTGTATGTCTGGTATACGATTACCTTTATCACGACGTTGCATTGCAATACTTTAAACTGTCTCTTTTTAAACAAAGATTAATCGGTCGTTTGTGCCACTAATTAATTGATATCAGCAGTCAAATAAAACTCATATGAGCCAGTAGTAGGGAGTGCTAGCTAGGTCGATGTGATCTAAACACCAGATGGCCATGTCTCTTGTGTACGATCAACCTCATCAATAGTGTACCCAGTTTGACTCAGCTCATGCAGACAAATCAGTGTAAACCACCTGAATTCTAACTCGCTAGCTGAGTCAAACCAGGTATATCTCTGATGATATAGATCCTAAACCAGCGGAACGGCCTCCCATATTCAGATCACTTCGATCTAGCCAACAAGTTCTGCCAGTTGGTATGAGTGGCAGAACTGTAGTGAGATTTAACCTCGAATTATGCAGATTGTAAACTGCATATTCTATTCAAGGATTAGCGAACTTTGTATAATGATGGCGAATATATTTTCTCCTTTCCTTTGACAAAATGAGACCATTTTTTTGTAAAGGATGACGGACAACATGTCTAGTTAGACTTTTCTTTTGTTATTTCCAGTTATAAGCAAAATAAAATTTTCTTTTTAAAACGCTGAATTGCGTCGGTGGCACGGCGGTAGAATGCTCACCGACCACGCATATGGTCCGGGGATCAATTCCCGGCCGACGAACTCCTTTACAACACCAAGCCAGTAATAAGACTGGTAAAGAGGGAAGGTTGGGCGTGAGGCTAGCAATCCCACCCCGTAAAAAAACACACAACTGCTACCGAAACTTCGTAGCTCTAGCCTGAAGCCTTATGTTCCACTGGGAACGTAAAGGAATACAAAAAAATCTGAATTATTGTAAAAGAAACTGTACCATTGTCTCTGAATTGTTGTATTTGATGTATCCATGGGACAGAATCTAAGTGGAGTCATCTCCATGGCCAATAAACCTCCCATACTGTAACGAAATAATGAAAAATAACGGAGCCAACTAAGCCAAACTGCCATCGATTTCAAGTTAATTAGGTAACCAGAAAAGGCCTGGAATAAAATGAGAAAAGAGAATTAAATCAAATGACTTTTACTCATATATATATATATATATATATATATATATATATATATAGAATGTTCTGGAATAATCGTCATTAACAATATTGGTGTTTTTAAATACTATGGATTTGTAGAGTAAGATCAATGTAATTACAGTTCAAGAAAGATGCATAAATTATAATAAGCATAAAAATGTGATAGTAAATGGAATATCAAATAAAATCAAGGAAATTTCTACAACAAATTAAGGATCACTAAAACGTTGATTGATTGCCAAGGTAAGGACAAAGTCTGAACCAACCAACTTTTTTTGGATACATGGATTAGTAGTAGACGAACTCTTAAGGTAAAGTTAAGAATAGTTCGTGTGCGGTAAATGATTTTGAAAGCCTCGTTAACATCAATCTTGTGTTCTGTATCCACGAGATGAGATAAAATATAGCTATGCATGGACTTTGTTTCTCCTTTACTTAACCAGACAGGATGGCGTTCAGATATCCAACGATTAACACGCCTAATTGTCTGGCCTATGTGACTGGCTCACTCCACAGGAACAGTCAAGTTGATAGATACACATAGGAGAGGCGAAATTGGGCAGTTTACCTTTGAAAGCCTGAACGCGAAATAGGGGTGGTTTTAAAGACACAGTATAATTCAGCTGCACTGAATGTTCTTTTTACCGCTGTATTCCTTAGGCGTTGTGTTAATATCTCACTGGTGTTATTCCTGAGGAGTTGAAGTTGTAAGAACAAGGCATTTTTTCGGAATTGTTTGTGCTACGGCCTGCCTTGACTTTTGATTCATATTCCTATCGATGAATTTACCTTGGTAACCGTTCTCACCCGGCAACCAATATTAAACTCTTCATTAAGACATTCATCAGAACAGATTGGCCTCGCTCTGTGAACCAAGCACTTTATTAGATGGCGTTTGTATTTCAAAGTCACAAAGCTGAGGAAGTGAGTATACTGACCAGTTGATGTAGGTTTTCTATACACACTTCTTCTTACTGTACCGTCCTCTTTTCTAGTCATAAGGACGCCTAGGAGTGAAATACTAGAGTCGCTTTCTTTTTCGATAGTAAAACTGATTGCAAGATGAACCTCATTAAATTTATCCAGGATGTTCTTTGCTTCATCCTCATTTTTCATAATCGAAAATGTATTTACAGTAGAATATCAACTGATGTCGCAATTGTGATGATGACTTGATTAAAAGTAGGCTAAATAGAAGTCACTCAGTTAAGGAGACCGGACAGGCATGGGCTTGTGCCGATGAAATTAAACTCATTTAGCGAAAGATTATCCTACTGTTTAACTCAAATATTACTGTGTATGAATTGCTTCTTGGAAAAAGAATGAAATTCCTAGAAAACAGACTGCTCTTTTTCACTCGTTGATGTCAAAAGTATAAACCTCATTGAACTTTTTAAAATTGACTGTCATCTAGGACAAACGATCTGTAGTTTCAGTATAGCAAAAATATTCATTCAAACATCTAGAAAAAACAAAATAATTGAGCTAAGAGTATCCTTTTTGATAATTTCCTCTTCTGGCTCTACAATTACATATATATGTTTATATACATAGAATATTCTAGAATAATCGTCATTAACAACATTGGTGTTTTTTAAATAATATCGATTTGTAAAGTAAGATCAATAGAATTACAGTTCATTAAAGATGCTTAAATTACAACCATAATAAAGATATAGTAGCGAATAGAATATCAACTAGAATTAGGGAAATTTCTACAAAAATTGAGGATCATTAGAACCTAGATGGCCAAGCAAGGACAGTGTCTGAACCAGCTTCTTCTGGGCACATAAGTTAGGCTTCTTAATGTGGAACCCAACGGCCTCAGCAATATATAGTAGACGAACTCTTAAGGCGAAGTTAAGATTTGTTGGTATAGGGTAAATGACTTTGAAAGCCGCCTCGTTGACATCAATCTTGTGTTCTGTATCCACAAGATGAGATAGAACAGCACTATGAATGTAGTTTTCTGGTAGGTCAGCACATCTTAGATTGTAGCTGAAAACAACACTCTGACACTATACAATGGCTTAATTGAGTTAGGGATGTAAAATTCACTTGAAGGATGCTGCATTTGTAAACAGTTAAGAATCAGGACACTATACGACACAAGAGGTGAAGTTATATTTAAAGAATTCGAAAGATATAGCAGCAATATTCCACCAAGTCTAAATAAGTGTATCATAGTAACAATTAAATTTAATAATGATATCAATATTTTTGATATAAAGTGCATGATATGTGATTATTTTTCAAGGTTGTTACCCTCAAATGCTTCTACATTACTAGGTGACCTAACCTGGTGAATCATTACATTGTCACTTACACGGTTAATTGTGTGGCTAACAGTATTTTCAATGTTAATCAGCTAAGTAGTAGTATAACTCCCTAGGACATTCTTATAAACAAGTATATTTATTTTCAAGTGTTAGTTTTCAGGGATTTGATTGGTGTTAGGATTTCATCATGAACTGAAATCGGTTAGAGAAACATTGGAAGACCACCAGGGAGTACTAGACAACTGTTTCGTCCTAGTTCGGGACTCTTCCGCAGTACACACCATCTGAAGTTCGAACCCAGGTCCCTCCGGTTACAAGGCGAGCTCTTAAAACATTCAACCATTGGCACCCGACCCAATGGCCAGTCCGTGAATTCCAGCTGCAACCGATTCCTGATGTTCTCAAGTATTGGTTTTGTAGGGATGGAGGATTTTATCATTAGCTGACATCAGTTAGAGAACCACCTGGGGTTCTAGTGGGAAATCGTAACCAGTAGGGTACAGCATGTTGAAGATGAGGTAGTAACTCATCGAAGAAGACATTGTGAAATGGTCGGGCCATGTCGTGAATTGGCAGAAGTTAGAATTCATGCACTGGCCATTGGATGGGATCCCAATGGCTCAATGGTCTGCGAACTCGCCTTGTAACCAGAAGGTCCTCGGTTGGAACCTTAGCGGTGGGTGCGTACTGCTGAAGAGTCCCAAACTAGGATGAAACAGCTACCCAGTACTCCCAGACTTTCCAGTGGTTATCTAACTGATGTCAGCTCATGGTGAAATCCTCCATCGAATTCCTGATGTGGCGCGACCACTAGTGAATGTCATCGTTGGCGAGTATTTGTTCTCACAGCCGACCTACTCTAGCCCACTGGTCAGGACTTCCCAGATGAATAGGACCAGTCAGTAATGATCATCAGATTGATGTCTAAATGTTGGCTTGCAGGGATTTGATTGATTGGTTTCAGGATTTCATTATAAACTGACACTGGTTAGAGAACCATTGGAAAGTCTGGGAGCATTGTTTACTTTTGAGGTTGTAGGAGTTTACCCAGACTGTTAATCGCATATCATATGAAGAATTTAGTGTTTCTATTAATCAAATAAACTTTTGAAAGTAAATACTTCATTTTTGTTCCATCGAAGTTAATCTTCTGTCTTGAATATTACATTAACTGTACACAAAGCTTTGTGAATGTTACTGTAAAGTTGTTTTATGTCACGGTGAAAAATTTCTAGTAAATGCATCAATTTAGACTAAACAGTGATCTTGAAAATAAATATGTATATGAATATTATCTGTCAATACTACTAATGAGCTGATATTTGGTTTATCCACTCTTGTTAGTCTTTAGAGGACTTTTAAACATTGATTAACCTTACCTGAATGCTAATCGGAATTAGGGTGGCATTTAAACCTACAAACTCACTCAGAGACAAGCTCTGTAGGCTAAAAGACCCGGTAAACCCAATTAAACAAAATAATATAATTTACAAAATACCTTGCAATGACTGTGAGTGGGGTCAACTGCATAGGTCACACTAGTAGATCGAGAGCAGTCAGATTGTCGGAGCATAAGAATTTAGCTAAGGTAAGAATGTTTGATCCCGAGAAGATAAGCAGTTTAGAAAAAAGCTCAGCAGCTGCACTGCATGCATTAACACACAATAGGGTGGTTGAGGGTTAAGATTCTAAGAAGTAATCTATGTAGGTAGAGAGAGAGATTGATTACTGAATCCTGGTTCATCGAGTCTACACCCAACACATGCAACAGAAATGACTCAATGCAAATACCAGAAATATGGAAGATATTATTACCACCAGTCAAATTAGAGGAGGATAATAAATAATCTTAAAATGCTATTTCAATTCAAGCACATCCCAACATTCTAACAATTTACTTATTATGACTATAAAAACACTCGTCCTATTTCCCATCTGATTGTAATTGATCAACAACACTCGTATTATTATTTCTGAATGTACATTATCTCATATTGATTTTTTTTCAAATATCTGGTCAATTCCACACATGTATATAAATGAAGGAAAAAGTTGTGTGAGTAACTTGATATGATTATGAGCGATAATTTGTGCCCGAAACATCATCAGTTAATATTACTGTATAACACACTGTGTGATTTATCAAAATAAAATCTTATCCATAATAGGGTTATACTCTACCAGCACAGTGCCTTAGTTTTATACTTATATCCATAACGGATATATAATCGTCTAATATAAGAAAGTATAAACATTTACAACTCACCATCATAAATACATACATAATTGATAGGATAGCATTAGCTAATCCAAAGACGGTGACAGTTGCTGAAATGAATAAAGCTATTGCGGCTGCAGCCAGTGTTGTAAGGCATAGAATTAATTCAAAAAACATAAACGCTTCGAAAGTCCGCTGTAATCCGGCCATCCAATAACATATTGGCATAAATAAGATTATAGGCAATACTTTAGTTGGTAATATATCACAGAGAATTTTTGAAAAAAAATATACAGAAACTTGATAATAACCACTTGAGCTTTCATGTCTAAAAAGAAATCAGAAAACAAAAGAAAATAATAATAATAAATAAACCGCTTTGAAATATTCACCTGTGGAAATTAAACATTCGATCAAAATTTGGTGTTCAACATTATCAGAAGAGAAACAAGAAAATGTTTGGCCAACTGTTACCGAGTAGATGAATCAACTAGTGACCTAGTTACAAAATTATTTATTTTTTATTATATAAAAGCCATGGCTTTTTCATCTATGGCTTACACAATGAAATGATTGAGTGTAACGCGCCTCTCAAATGATAATTAGCACGTTGGGTGTGAGGACAAATACTCGCCAGTGATGACATCGGTTAGTGGTCAGAATTCCTGGGCCATTGGATCAGGTCCTAATGGATTAATGATCGCCGTGTAACCTGAAGGTCCTAGACTCGAACCCCGGTGGGGTACGTACTACTGAAGAGTCTCAGACTAGGACGAAACGGGTTTCCCAATGGTCCTCTAACTGATGTCAGCTAATGATAAAATCCTGTAACCGGTCATTTCAAATCCCTGCAAACCAACACCTAGATAATAAAAAAGTGTTCTGGATTTTTCAAATTATAGTATACGCCACTTCAAGAAATTGTTACGAATCATTACAGACTACTTGCAAGTAGTATGACTATTACTTTTGTTATTTTATACCTTTACATTCCCAGTGGAACACAGAACTTCAAACTGGAGGTTTGAAGTATCACTAGCAGGGGTGGGATTGCTAGCCTCACGCCTAGCCTTCCCTCTTTATCGGCTTAGCAAGGTAAAGGAGTTCATCGACTGGAGATCGAACTCCTTTACTACGTGCATGGTTGGCAAGCGTTCTAGCGTTGAACCACTGACTCATGGTAATATAACTAATTAATACAAAAATAGGTCTGTTACTATCACTACCAGAGAGGTCGATAATTCCGTAAAATTATTAGCCTACAGCTTCATTATTCGACACTGGGTTGTGACTTTCACCGTTTAAATAGAATGACTAAGTATGCCTCCATACACACATGCCACTTAGCACGCTGTCTTATTGCATTCGGTTATTCCTGCGCTATCTTTAGTCAGCTAAGCACGCGTTCCTGCTTTACAACATCGGTCCCAAAATACATTTCGTATTTTAGATGATCGAAGTGTTGTTCATACTGGGCCCTATCGGTTGTCTTCTGACCGACAGCAAATAAGTACATTTAGGTTAAAGGATAGAGCATACATTCTATATTATCACTTTATCATCCTGCTTGGAATACTTCAGACTAATTTCGAATAAAATTTCAATTGTTAGTGAGTTGTTTTTGAAAATGAGTCATTTACTAATCAAGTTTGGGCGTCGGTAGAATGCTCGCCAATCACGCATATGGTCCGGGGTTCAACACCCAGCCGAATCACTTCTTTACCCCACTTAGGCAGTAATAGGACTGGTAAAGAGGGAAGGTTTGGCATGAGGCTAGCAACCCCATCTGTAAAAATAAACTCCACTGCTATAGAGACTTCAAAGCTCTAGCTTGAAGCCCTATGTTCCACTGGGAACGTAGAGGAATAAAAATAAATAATAACTAATCAAGTTATGAGATCACACAGGTGTCTGCCCTACTGTTCTCACAAGTAATAGGATTTTCATCTGTTGGCATAAATGAATCTTAAAGGAAAGCATAGATAATAATTACAATGAAGCCTACATATAGGCGTCCTGCTTACATCACTAGGCCACCTAAATTTTCTATCCATCAAAATGCATCGTGTTTACTCTGCCTTATTTTGTTTTAATCATCGGATTACCACAATGCGACACAATTCACATTGGCGCACTATTTCAAATAAGTTTCTTTGTAGTGGCCCTGGTCTTGGAAGAGAAGGCGCCAGTTCAAAAGGTTATTATCTGGCAATCTGGAACAGTCCAGTGCTTTTCTTTGTGTGAACTTTGGTTTCCCTCTGGTACCGTGATTATTATTAGTGTCAGTAATAAGTTTGAGCACTGTGCAATAGATCAAATAAATTATAATTATGTGTCACTAGTTTACAAACAATGATAAGTTCTTGTTTTTGATCATTTTGCTTGAAATATTACCAAAAACAAACACTTATCATTGTTTGGAAAATTGTTGATAATAATAATTATTATTATTGATAAAGTGTTTCGACCATCATCTGTGTTCTGTTCCTCACTCACAGTTTGCTATATTGTGCTTGATCTATGACTGGTTGGAGGATTTTGTCATGAGCTGACATCGGCTGGAAAACCAATAGAAAACAGCTGTCCAGTACTCCCAGTTGGTTTTCTAATGGTTATTTAACCGATATCAGCTCATGAAAAAAATCCTCCAACCATTCAAATAAAAAATCCCTACAAATCAATACTTGATAATTAATCCATAGTTGTCTGTATTGTCTATTGCATTCTAACCTACCGCTGGGAATTTTTCGTAGGAAATAGAGGAAGAACACTGTGGAGTAGTACTGCAGCAGGCTTCTGGTAGAACAATATTGCTTCAGATGATATATTATCGATGATTATATTATCTGAAGATTCTGTACAAGGAGTGAATAAATTTCAATGAAACTTGCTGTGCCTATAGACTTATCTTTCAGAATAAATCTGCCATTATTAGTATTTGACTGTTCCCGTCACATAATCAATACACCAGCGGGTATATACTATTCTTGTGTCACTGAGTACCAAAAAATGATTCTCAATTTCATGGAAAACTTTATGATAACGCTTAAGTGAATTTCAGTTTTTCAAATAATTATTCCCCTTCAATTGTTGGTTTGCAAGGATTTGATCGATTTCTCTAGTTAAACCCTTGTAGGGTTTGCAAAGCAGAAATACTTATGCCCCAAATCATCGAAGTATACAGCAAGTTCACAATTTATGTATAGCTTGCTCATTTCAAGTTTCATTTAGCAAGTTTTCCACAAATCGTGTACTTGCTTCATATTTTGAAAGAGTCAGATGTACACGAAATGAAACTAATTCAACTGGGAGTACTAGACAGGTGTTTCGTCCCACTAGTTTAAGATCTTTCCTCAATGCGCACCCACCACTAGGTTTCGAGCTCAGAACCTTTTGATTTCAAGGCGAGATAGCTCGTAGACCATTAAGCCACTGGGACCCGATCCAATGGTCCATAAATTCTAACTTCTACCAATTCATGCCAAAGCGCGATTACGTCGAAGTGTCTGCTTCAGTGGGTTCGAACCCTGGTGGTTGCGTACCGATGAAGAGTCGCAAACCAGTGGGATGAAACAGCTGTCCATTACTCCCTGCAGGTTTTCCAATGGATCTCTAACTGATGTCAGCTCATGATGAAATCCTCCAACCAGTTAAACAAAAAATCCTTACAAAACCAATACTTGATAATCTTAGAATTCTTTGACTTTAAAATACAAACCTCATTTATGCGTTGCGTAATTTCACTTCTAATTTTGCTTTAAAATTTTAGCTTCTCTGTAGCAGAACTTCTCTGAAAGCATTTATCAATAAGTAAAAACTAATATTCGTTGCCTTAGGGGGTTGATTTTGTGATTCAATAGTTGAGTGAGTTCAACTTTGTGTCATGTGAAACTGTGAAGTCTGATACTGAGTGTCATTGGAAACACCATTACTCACTGGATGCAGGTATATATATCTGACAAGCTGCAAACAAACCAAAGTGCACTAAATTAACCAAATATCAGGTTGTGATGGTATAAAATTGCAGCTGCATTCTTTATGCTTAGTTGTGGTCCTCATTATAAGAATGTTTTTAATAGCCTTAAGTTGGCTAGTCTTCTAAGAGGCAGAAATGGGATTTGACCAGTAAATTAGTATAGTCCACACCACCTAACTGTGGTAAGTATCGATAATGTCTAAAAGCGTGTGTAACTCACTGGTACATCTCACCACAGTTTACTTTTTAAATTTAAACAAACGAATAAGTATACCTTCACACAATGAAAAATAGACACTGGTTAGTATAAAAGTTAAAACTTACATAAAAAGTGCACGTTCTTTAATAAACAATTCAATTGTCGCCAAATTTACAAATATCACTTGTAGTGTACAGAAAAAGAATAATCCAGTACGATTTTGTATACCAGATTCTAAGGAATCATTCATTTGAAAATAGACTATGCCCATTGATAATGCAAAAAATAAATATACAATTGTTTGTATTACAGATGCCAATGGATCTCTTAACAGGTTCAGCGTTGTTCTCCAACATACTTTATGCACTTGTCTGAAATATGGCGCTGCAAATGAAATATCCACTGAACGATCTTTGAATTTATTCGTACCATTTTCATGCTCCTCTAATCGGTTGGCTATTGAGCTAACTTCTTCTAACACCCTTGAAACAGAAATGTGGTATAGTAATAATAATAACAATAGTAACAATAATTAGCATTAAGGTAATTGGAACTTTCCTAGTGACTCTAACAGTGATTGGTTATTCCCTGAAACTCTCTTAGGATGTTATTTATTTATAATTTAATTGGTGGATGGTGACTAGCAGTGGAATCCAGTATGCGCATTTCGTCCTGTTTAGGATTCATCATCTGTATGTGCCTGCATTTCCCAGTAAGGGATGATGTTCCCACCGAGGCTCGAACCCAGGGCCCATAGTTTCAAACACCAAAGCGTTATTCACTAGACCACGAGAGCCACTTCTTGTGCAACGGGTATTATTATTATTGTTCCCTTGGGCTCCTAGTGGAACATAGGGCTTCAACTACACGTCTCCACTTGCTTCTGTCTTCTGCTGTACTTTTCACCTGCATCCATGTTAGTCCATACTGTTTCAGTTCCCCTTCACACGATCTCCTCCATGTCACCCTTGCACTGACGTCCCACTCGCCGCTTCCCTTTCGGGTTCCACTCGAGCACTGGCCTGACGCGCAATGTCACCCAACGGCCTCCTCAGCGAGTGTCCAATCCATCTCCACTTTCTCCTGCATATTTGTTGGGCGATTGGTTCTTGTTTTCTTTGTTCCCATAGTTTCTTGTTGGTGATTCTTTCTGGCCATTCGATCTTCAGTATAGAACGAAGACAGTTGTTGATAAAGGTCTGCAACAGGCTGTTGGAAATATTCTTTGTGACCCTTCAAGTTTCTGATCCATATAGAAGAAGTGAATTGACGTTTGTATTGAAAATCCGAATCATTTTGTTGTTGATGCAGGCTGAGTGACGAAGATTTCCAGATTGATTTCAGGTTGGTGAATGTGTTGAGAAACGGGTCATATCAGTTATTTAATTGAATTTAAGATTTTCCCGTCGATTGATCTGACCGAAGTGCTCGGTCTCAGGTTGACATATCGGCTTCTTGTGCAGATGCTTCGACGATGTCTGGGCATGTAATTAGAAGTTAATTGGTGGATGGTGACTAGCAGTGGAATGGAGGATGCGCGTTTCTTCCTATTTGGGACTCGTCAACTGGATTTACTTTCACTCTTCAATGAGTTATTTATTTATGTTGATATTGATAGTATAGTTACCCCGATGTTTAGCCTTTTGGTTGTATGACTTGATAGACATGTTAATTTGTCAAATTTATCAGTTAGCGATGAATAATATACCTCAGGGGAAAACTAATTACAGCTGAGATTACCATGAAAGACGGATATTTCATCCGTGGAAAATTCTCAAGGCCAACTCTTCACAGTGAAGTTCGCGCTGAAAATATTGTTCAGAATGACAACACACAACAAAGCCATAAATATCTACCTAAGCTCCAAATCTTCCGGATTATTTTAAAATCTTACGATTGTTGTGTTATTCACGTACTAAAGTCGAAACCGATGCGGTGGGATTTGAACCATGAACTCATTGGTTAAAAGTTCTGTATAAGTCAATGAATTAGGCTTCCTTAATACAATAAAGGCCTTTTGTATATATATAACAAATCTATATCAATTTTGAACTGAATTACAACATAATGATGCAGATTTTTAATTCACTAGCATATTATTCATATATAAGTAAGAGTTAAGTTGGTAGAAAAGAATGTATACAAGCTATGTACATACCGTTGAGCCATTTCAGAGTTCTGCCATTCATTAATGAGCTGTTGACCAACTAAATGCATCTTTTCTTGTGTATCATGATGGTCGACAATATCTAAAATAATAAAGAAAAAAAAGAAAAATTAGAATCCCATCATCTGTCTTACCCTGTTTAATGACAGTTGGGATGTATCTCACGATAATTTAGACGATGCTGTAGCGAATCAAAAGCTGTAAAGTGTGTGTGTAATTCTAAACTTCTCACCTTGAGTTGAATTCCCTGTGAAGTATGATCAGTTGAGGAGTAATGAGCTATATACTGGTGTTTAACGGCATTTACCACATCATATCTTTGTAAATAACAGATAGTTTATCCCCTCACTGAAGTAGAACACAAATTACAATAGAATGAATTAGGAGAAGTTAGAATTCATGGGTCATTGAATCGGGTCCCAGTGGCTGAGTAGTATACGAGCTTGCCTTGGAACCGGAAGGTCCTGGGTTCGAACCCTGGTGGTGGGTGCGTACTGCCTATGATTCCCAAACTAGGATGAAACAACTGTCCAGTACTCTCTGTGTGTTTTCAATGGTTCTCTAACTGATATCAATCCGTGATCAACTCGTAAAAATAAGAATGAAACACATTATCAGCTTTTTTTTTTACTTGTAGAAATTGTCACCAAAACTCCTAACAATGTTAATTTTATAGAGAGACAGTTGATATCTACTGGAAGCAGGATTATATACTAACTAGTGCTAGATAGCAGTTTTGTAATTATTTGGTTTTCTTCGGCAGTGCAAACTAAACTGCTACCAAGGGAAAAGGAATTGTAAAAGAATTCCAAAAAACACATCTTTTAAATCATTTTTCAAACATGATTTTTCATTACATCTTAGTATTATTATTATTATTGTATCCTTTAATTCCTACAGGAACATAGGGCTTCAGCCGTGCGTCTCCATTGCGTTCGGTTCTCTGCTAGAGTCTTCACCTGGCTCCAAGTCTGCCCACACGTTTTCATCTCCTCTTCACATGACCTCCTCCAAGTCACCCTTGCACTGACGACCAACTCGCCGCTTCCCTTTCGGGTTCCACTCGAGCAATGGCTTGTCTAGTGATGTCACTTGATGGTTTCCTCAGAGTATGGCCAATCCATCTCCATTTCTTCCTGCCTATTTGTTTCACAATCGGTTCCTGGTTGGTTCGCTCCCAAAGATCCCTGTTGCTGATCTTTTCTGGCCATCTGATCTTGAGTATTGAGCGAAGACAACTGTTAATGAAGGTCTGTAGTTTGTTTGAGATGCTCTTTATGACGCGCCAAGTCTCTGATCCGTATAGTAGCACTGACTTCACATTGGAGTTGAAAATCCGGATCTTATTTTTGATGCTGAGTGCTGTTGACCTCCACACAGACTTGAGAGTAGTGAAAGCTTGTCTTGCTTTTCCGATCCTTGCTTTGATATCCTCGTCAGTTCCGCCTGTAGTTGAAACGATGCTTCCAAGGTAGGTAAAAGAGGTTGTTTCTTTCAGGTTCCTCCCATTTATGCTGATTGTTGTCTGTTGTTGTTGTTGCTGTTGATGGTGTTGCCCAGGAATTTTCATCACCTCTGTTTTATCTATGTTCACCTGAAGTCCTGTCTTTGATGCTTCTTCTGCTAACTTGTTGCTTTTCGCTTGCATATCTTCCAGTTTGTGGGAAATCAGACATATATCATCGGCGAAGTCCAGATCCTCCAAGTTTTTTGTGTGTGTCCATTTTATGCCTGTTTCCTCATTGTCCACTGTTTGTCGCATTATCCAGTCTACTGCAATCAAGAAAATCATTGGCGATAGTAGGCAGCCTTATCTTACTCCTGTCCTCACTTCGAAGGGTTCCGTAAGTTTCCCATTGTGGATTACTTGGCATGCAGCATTGTCGTATAGCTGTTGGATGAGATGTATTATTGTCGGTGGCACCCCGTAGTAGCGAAGTAGTTTCCAAATCACCTCTCGGTCGACGCTGTCAAAGGCCTTTTCAAAGTCGATGAAGTTGAGATAGAGAGGTGACTGCCACTCTAAGCTTTGCTCAATGATGATCCGTAATGTGGCGATCTGGTCAATGCATGACTTGTTTCTCCTGAATCCAGCCTGTTCCGGTCGAAGTTTTTCATCCAGGGCATGTTTGATTCTCTCCAGGATGATGCGGCTTAGTATTTTGCTTGGGATGGACAGGAGCGCCAGTTCTTGTATTGACTTAGGTCTCCTTTCTTTGATAGTTTGAATAAATATCCTTTCTTCCAATCCTCGGGTACTTTGCCTTCTTTCCACACCTTCTCCAGTAGTGGCGTCATCAAGTCCGCTGTTGTCTCCGGGTCCGTTTTCAGTACTTCTTCTGGGATTCCATCTGGTCCTGCTGCCTTTCCAGCTTTTAGCATCTTGATTGCCTTCAGGACTTCTGATTTCGTCGGGGGGTTGGTGTTCACTGGTAGCTCTGTCTCCGTTGTTGGTATTCCACATCTTAGTATTAGTGACTTAATAGTACATCTGTCTGGTTCTTTAAATTAGGATCAACCAATTTCCTTGATAATTAACGATCATTTTTATTGTATATGCATAGCAAATAGTTGTTACACTAACCGCCGCTAGTTATTTTTGTCATCAGTGTGAATAAAACGAGAACAGCAGATTTTTGGGGGAATTGTAGCTACAGATATCTGTCCAACACTAACTGTTGTGAACAGAAACCACATTCACATGTCAATGTTATTCGTACTGATAAAATTGCGTCAGTCGTGAAAGCTAACTGTTAAGTTCAACGGGTTACGTCTTCACTGTCTATCTTAAGTCGCCAGTTAGTTTACTTGCTCTTGTAACCAACTGTAATCTTAAACTTCTTACTGTATAATTCATATTATAGGGAAAAATGCATGGGATTCTTAAGCCTATCTATCTCTCTTTCTGATTTCACACTGGACCAAGTTGATTATCAATCTACCTTGAAGAAGATAGCCTCTTTCATTTGCAACCAGCTGTTCAAGATAATTATCTCTCATGAATTCACACTTACAAGTGTGTTAAACGTAGAAGAAAGAGGTTTCTGAATTAGTTTTAAAGGATCACTGATATCTATAATGAGAGGATTCTAAATGAAATCAATAAACGCGTCGGTGATTCAGTGATGGACTCCTCGGAAGCCGTGCAATTAGTCTGGGTTCTATTCCCGGCTGGAACACTTCTAAGCCTCGACCATTTTACTAGCCCACAGTAAGCTCACAAAAGAGAGGAGGTCGAGTGTGAAGCTAGTGATCCTACTGCGTATAAAAACAACACCAACGCAACTGGAACTTAATATGCTTCAGGATCTATGTTGCACTCAGAAAGCAAAAGAATCAAAAAGAAAGAGAAACCATTGAAGGTTAAAACCAGTACTTCAAAAAAGCAAGCTCTAATTGGTTAGTGAATTTGTAGTTGTTTAATGCATAAATATGAGATGTTAACTGCGAAATATTAAACGACCGAAACTGATGTTAAGCACTAATGAAGAAAATTAATTAAACCAAGCGGTAATCAGTTGGAAGTTGAATGACTTCATGTTACCCAAACGTAACTATCAAAATGATGGCCTTTTTTTAAATATTTTTGACTAAGCTAATTTTTGCATTTCGCATAGTTTTTACAGTATTGAAAATGGACCGAACTTAAGTTGGAGATTAGGCATTATTTTATTCTTAATAGTTATGTAGTCCGTTGTTAAGTTCTACAACTATTGGCTGTTCAAATGTAATGGTTTACTTGAACATGATGCAGACAGGTAATCAGGTGTTTCACTACTTGTTCAATAACATTTCCGTCTATGCTTGTTCATGCATTGTAGTTACTAAATCGGTGCGTTGGTGGTTCAGAGGTAGACTGCCGGCCAACCATGTAAGTGGTGCGAGTTCGAGTCCCGGACGACTCACTCTTTTACCTGCCTTAGCCGATTATAATCCCTGGAAAGAGAGGAAGTTGGGTGTGACGCTAGCAACCCCACCCCTTAAAACTGAAACTTCAAAGCTCTAGCTTGAAGCATCATGTTCCACTGGGAACTCAAAAAAGTGAAAAAAAAGATTTACTAAATTGCTGAAGTAATGTAAATATTACTTTGAAAAATAACAGGGCTGAAGTGTCTCATTTAGTTGAATATCCACGTACACCATGGTGTCTGTTGATATAGTGAAAACCACTGATTCCATGGTTAAATTTATCACAATAAATTCTACATTAATATAAAGACAATAGAGAAGGTCAAAACAAGGTAAGTAGCCGTTTTACCTAAAAATCCGAAAGGAGACATGCAGTGTGACAGAATAACACACAAGAAGCCACTAGCACCGTATGAAGTTGACTAGGGTTATAAGCTTTTGACATAACTTACTTTGTGTGAATTTACTTCACTGGTATATTTCCACATATCTGTTAACGGCATCCGTAAATCTAGTTACCTGTCTTCATTTTTGCCAGGTGAACTGAATCAAGTCAACACTACACTTTTAACATGTTGGTTATAGGAGATTAGAGACATGTCACAAGTTGTTTACTTCGACATAACAATCAACCAGACAACAGTTCATTGCTTACCAGTTACTTTGAGAAACAACCTATCAGATAAGCTGAACTGCCTTTAAAGCTAATATGCACTCAGAAAAATGTCTGGCAATTATATTACTGCATGGAACCAAAGCACTGTCTAGTTAGTTGCAACTGCATTACTGAAAAATGATATATACATTCAAAGTTGTAAGGTTAATTTTAACCATAACTGTCTGCATCTAGCAAGCTCTTAATAGATCTCGGTGACAAAGATTGTCTTTGTACTATCTGTAAACCATTTGGCTGACAGATTTTTATTTACTTTTGTGAAGATCGAATATAACAAATTCCTGTTGGAATATATCAAAGCGCATGATGTTCCTGTGAACCACTATGCACATCACTGAATTACTGTTTATTTTAAATGCATTTGGTCATCAAGAGTTGTTCTGTAAGGGTGTAATGGAGTACCGGCTTCTAATGGTTCTCTAACTGATATTAATCCGTTGTCGAACTCTAAAAGTAAATCTAATCCCAACACAATAACTCTTGAAAATTCATCTGAT